AAAAATAAGAAGAAGTGTCTAATATTATTGAGAACCTTACGATCTCGAAACCGCGGCTGCAACATTCTGGCGACCGTGACAGAACTGAGAAATTTCGTTGTAGCCGTTTCATAGCAAGCAGAGATCGTAAGAAAGTAATCCATAGACATGGAACAAGTAAAGTTAACGCTAAAAATAACACGATCCGCCTTTACGAGAGTGTACTTCCTTCCGGACTGAGCAGTCGAAGGAATTGCCGGACATAACCTCATTGCAAGTCAGCTTCGCGTTGCTACGAGACAAAACGAGTGAGCTTAATGAGCTAAATCAAAAGCTGCAGACCTTGATGATCGAAACTGGAGACTCTGAAGAAACCATTGGAAGAGAGGCACAACACGCAGATGAGTATGCCACGAAATCAACCAGCAAGCCAACCATCAAGCAAAGGTCGGGCTAACCTGTCTTTTAGAGCGGAAGAATGAACTCGAAACACCGACACCGACTCCGCAACGGACTACCACGACAACACAGGAAAGTATACGCGCATTGAAATTGCCGAAAATTGAATTGAGAAAGTTTGGCAGTGATATCAAAGATTGGCTTCCGTTTTGGAGTACTTTTAAAAAAATTCATGAAGACGCGACGCTGTCGAGGAAAGATAAATTCCAATATTTGGTACAGTCTATGGTAAAAGATTCGCGCGCGTTTGAAGTAGTGAATAGTTTTCCACTAACGGCCGGTAATTATGAGAAAGCCATACACAGCCTCGAGTCTCGATTCGGCAAAAAAGACTTATTGATTGAATATTATGTACGCGAACTTTTAAAGTTAGTCTTAAGTAAGAATAAAAACATGTCGCTCGCAATCACTTATGATAAATTAGAGACACATATACGAGCACTTGAAACTTATTATAAATCCTCGATAAAAAATCAGCGATTTGGCGTTCTTTGTTCTTTTTAAAAACAAGTCATTACACGCAAACAAGTTGTTACCGGCAACGGACAATCGAAAGTTCTAGAACGATTCAATTCGCGCACGCGAGCGCCGCGCTCCGACGAATACGTCACGCGCTGTCACCAATCCCACGCACGGATTTTCTGTCGCGCATGACTGTTACGTTGAACGTCGTTAGAGAAGAATCCAAAGCGCCAATCAATTTTGTACACCTAATGCCACGTAATAATTACGATTGTGGCAAAATTTTATTGGATTTTTTCCAAGAAGAAAGCCCAGGCCGAAAACAATAAATGCTTTGATCTCGCCGGCCTCCTTCTTAGAGTCTAAAAGTTCTTAGAGTTTTTAGAGTCATAATCTCGCTACTATATCGCTTCGTAAAATCGCCGTGCTAACCGCTTAGTGAAAACCGCTATAAAACGAATCCTTCGAGAAGTGCCGAGAAAATCGCCGAGATTTTCCATTACCGCGATTCCAAAATATCATTTGGAAAAGGTGACCGCATTTATTATTCTGTTAATCTAATATTTAATTAATTATATTTTTTGACTTTGTAACTGAGCATATTAAAGAAAATTTTTTTGTTAAATTACAAAGAAACGGAGTTCTCTTTACTGTCGCTTATCATATCAACCTTGTGCCGTTTTATCACTCGAATTTTTCCGCGCGGTGCGCTCTCGCACAATTGAATATTATGTACGCGAACTTTTAAAGTTAGTCTTAAGTAAGAATAAAAACATGTCACTCGCAATCACTTATGATAAATTAGAGACACATATACGAGCACTTGAAACTTTAGGCGTGACAACAGAAATGTGCGCAGCAATGTTGCTTCCTTTAGTAGAATCCTCACTGCCTGAAGAGACTTTACGTACATGGCAACGAACAAGGATTCAATTAATTCCTCATTCTGACGCGTCTGTTACTGTTGTAATTATTACTGCAAAAGATCGTCTTACTAGTCTAATGACTTTTCTAGGAAGAGAAGTCGAGAGCGAGGAACGTATTCAAATGGCAAAAACATGCTTCGAGAGCAACGATTTCCAGATGACAAAGGACAAAAATAAAAGGAAATCAAAGAGTGAACGAGATCCAGAGATAGCGACAGCGTCTAGCTTATTATCGGCGAAAGAAGCAAAGCCACAGCAATGTATATTTTGTGGAGCTAATCATGACAGCTTGAGTTGTGAAACGGCCAGAAGTATGGACTTAGAGAAGAGAATCCAAGCTGTAAAAGACAAGCAGGGCTGTTTCAATTGTCTAAAAGTAGGGCAGGGAAACAGTTGTCTCGCTAATGTCTCTTCAAATACAAAAATGTTTCTGCCTACACTAAAAGTCAAGATGCGAGGTCCAAAAGGCTTGGTGAATGTTCGTGCCGTCATAGATACTGGCTCGCATAGATCTTATGTTTTGGAAAAAGTAGCCAGAGAGCTTGGATACGAGACTGAGAGCGAACAGACGATGATACACTTGTTGTTTGAAGGAACTAAAACCAAACCTCAGAGACACAAAACTTATCGGATCTACATCGGCAACTTAGATGGAACATATAAATGCGACTTCGTAGCTTTGTAACAAAACATTATCTGCCAGGACGTCCCTTGTAATATCGATGATACTTGGATGGATATACTTGAGAAAAAAAACATACGCTTGAGCGACACCGAC